TTAAGAAAACAGTGTGCATTTTAATAATGTACCAAGCAGAATCAAAATGGAAGTTATGTATTATATTGAATATTACAACTTTAGGGAAAAGATATAAAGGTGTCATACTCCAATCAGTAACTACAGGAGAAATTTTGTTTAATGAGAAAAGATAATAGATAATTGAAACAGGACAGACAAAAAATATAAATACAATGATCTGAATTGAGATGAGATAATTAAAATAAAATTGAGAAAATTAAAAGAGGGGAGAAGCTATGTAGAAAATGTAAAATAGTAATAAGATATGGAATAGAATATAAAAATCAGCATGAACCTGAATTTGTGTCTGTTTGAAGAAATATAACCCGGGATTACGCTACTTTCAAAAAAGGTGTTTTATTTGTATTTTTTTTTCTCTTTGTGTAAAACTCAAATAAAATTTACAATTTTTTTTAACAATAATCATAATAACATGATACATATTCATATCATAATGATTCATAATAACATGAATTCATTCATTAATTCATAATAACATGAATTAATGATAATCATAATAACAACCATAGTGATCATTATAATAATCATAATAACCACCATCATAATTAACGGCAGCAGAAACAGCAACATCAGCCGGAAGCAGCGGTGGCCCCAGCAATAATAAATTGCTTCCATTTTTCATTGGGCAACATTGAAACGGTGTCATTGGGAGCTCCCTCAGGCCGCTGCCCCCCACGGGTGGTTGCCTCGTGCTGCAAAGGGAGAAAACGGAGGAAGTCAAGGCTCTGATTTGTAATGGGGAGTGTAGGAGAGGATGTTTTCCTAGCCCCACATTCGTTTTCTCTCCCTCCCCTCCAGTCCTCCTGGCCCCTTCCCTGACCCATGTTCATCCCTCAGAGCTGATGGGCTGGAGAGACTGAGCTGGCCTGGATCCTCCCTGCAGAGCATCGGATCAGAAGATCCCAACCAGGAGGTGCTGAGCCCCAGAGGAGCCCCATGATCTCTCCATGGCTACCTTGGAAAGACTTGGACTAGGGAGTGGATTCCCCCAGCCCACAAGCCCCACCATCTTTTCCTCCATGGATTGTCCAAGTGGGGAGTTTTTCCTCTTAAATAGAGTTCAGCAAGTGTCTGGCTCACCTCTGAGCTCCCTTTAGGCTGGAGCATTGCCTGTGACTGAGTCTCATCTTCTGTGCCATAGATAGCTGGAGAAGGAACCTCTTCTTGAGAAACTTTATCAGGCCAAGTTGTCACATTGCAAAGGAATTTTTTCTTGACCTTCCTCCACTGGTCTGAAAGATTGCAAAAAGAGAGGACAGCTAGTTAATTTTGGGGGGTGGATGGTCCAAGTGGCCGGATTATAACCCAGTGTCTTGAAAAAGAGGCCTTAGTGCTCCCAGCAGGTTATGACAATGAAATGGAGCACTCCTGGGGGTTATTGAGGAATAACCAAGTTGAAATTCTCCTTGTGTCAGCCTTCAAGATCTTCTACTATTGCTTTGCACCTTTTGGCTGTCATAAGTAACAGGGGGAGGAGGGGAGTAACGTCTGGGAAGCGAGCTGGAGGTGTTACATTCTAGTGTTGTAAAAATGAGGAGGGGGAAGAGGACATTCTTGCTTAGGTTTCTATTTCTTGCTTTGCTTTCTTTCCTCTGCGCAACTGCAAACTTTTATCAAAGTATGCCAAGGTCAACGGACAGAGGCCTCATCCCCACCTGAAGATGTCCACATGATCATATTCACAACTTTTAATTGGAAGAATCCTTTGAACTAGGGGGGGGTGGGGGGTGGGATCATTTCCATCACTTTGTATATGTGATTTACGCGCCTAATTCCTTAGATTCAGAATTCTATTGTAGCTACCACTTCATTTCCAGTAAAAGATATCTTTTCTCTAACTAAAAGAGTCTTCAGTATTTCTTTCTTGGATTTGGAACAGAGATCAGCCTGACACCTTGCTTCTATCTGAGCTCCTAGAGATAGATAGATAGACTCCTCCTTTCCACCACAGGAAAACCAGAGCTGGTTTTGTTTCTTCAGGACCAATATGGTGTATCCAATAAAGTTTTGCTTTTGGGAATTCAAAGCTGCCGAGAGTCTTTCCTTGATTTGGGTTCACTACTTGGACATTTAACGCCTTGTCCTAAAGCAATATGAATTTATTTTAAACAATGATGCTAGATCACCGGGGCCTGATGGATTACATCACAGAGTGTTAAAGGAGCTGGCAGAGGTCATCTGAGAACCACTGCGCCATATCTTTCAAAAATCCTGCAGCACCCGGGAACTACCAGAGGACTGGAAAAGAGCTGATGTGGTTCCCATCTTCAAAAACGGAAAAAAAAAAAAAAAACCAGACCCAGGAAACTATAGACCAATCAGCCTAACATCAATACCCGGGAAGATACTGGAAAATATAATAAGAAAGAAAAAAAAAAACAGATCTGCCAACATCTAGAAACAAGTAAAGTATTAACTAGCAGTCAGCACGGGTTTGTTAAAAACAGATCATTCCAAACCAATCTTATTTCATTCTTCAACACAGGGACTAAATGAATAGACCAGCAAAACACTGTGGACATAATATTTTTAGATTTCACCAAGGCTTTCGACAAAGTAGACCACAACTTACTTCTTAGTAAGCTAGAAAAAAAGTGGAATAGACAGCACCACCACTAGATGGATTCCCAACTGGCTGACTAACCATACTCAACAAGTGGTCCCTACATGGAGGGAAATAAGCAATGGGGTGCCACAAGGTTCCATCTTAGGCCCAGTACTTACTCTTCAATATCTTCATTAATGACTTAGATGAGGGAATAGAAGGGGAACTTACCAGATTTGCAGATGATACTAAGCTGGCAGGAATAGCTAACACCCAAGAAGATAGGCTCAAGATCCAGATGGATCTTGACAGACAAGAGCACTGGGCCATATCTAACAAAATGAAATTCAATGTAGAGAAAAGTAAAGTCCTACACTTAGGCAAGAAAAACCAAAAGGACACATATAGACTGGGTGAAAACAGGCTCAATAGCAGTAACTGTAGGAGGGATCTTGGAGTCCTAGTGGACAACCAGCTAAATAGGAGCCAGCAGTGTGCAGCAGCAGCCCAAAAAGCTAATGCAATCCTAAGTTGTATTAACAGAGGGATACAATCAAGATCAAGGGAATTACTAATACCACTCTATAAAGCCTTAGTAAGACTACACCTAGAGTACTGCATCCACTTTTGGTCACCATATTATAAAAAAGACGTTGAGACTCTAGAAAAGTGCAGAGAAGAGCAACCAGGATGATTAGGGGACTGGAGACTAAAACATGCGAAGAACGGTTACAGGAACTGGGCTTGGATAGTCTAGGGAAGAGAAGGACCAGGGGAGACAGGATAGTAGTGTCCCAATATTTGAGGGGCTGCCTCAGAGAGGAAGGATTCAAGCTATTTTCTAAAGCGCTTGTAGGCCAGACAAGGAATAATGGATAGAAACTGAACAAGGAGAGGTTTAACCTGGAAATAAGGAGAAACTGTCTGACAGACAGTGAGAACAATCAACCAATGGGACAGAATTTCCCTTTGGAAGTTGTGGGAGCGCCATCACTGCAGACTTTCAAGAAGATTTTGGACTGCCATCTGTCAGAAATGGTGTAGGGTCTCCCACTTGGGTAGGGGGTTGGACTAGATGACCTCCAAGGTCCCTTCCAACGTTGATTATCTGCAAGACCTCTGGGAATCCTGTTATGGATGCCAGACAGGTGGTTTTCCCCATATATTCCAAAGTTGGTAATTCTTACTCCAAACCTCACAATCTTTCTTTTGATTTATACTCCACAGCCCCTGTGCCAATCGAAGTACCAGCAATCTCGGAAGGCTCAGCCTGAGTTTCACTGGGTTAGACAAGCAGCACAATTTGCAAGCAAGTAAAAAAAGGCCCATCCAGGAAGAGGGAAACAGCAAAGCACTCCCTCCTCACTGAAGAGAAAGTTCCACGGAGACCTTGAGCTGCATTGGGTGAAACTCAGTTCTCCCTGTCATTTCTCTTGCTCTGAGTAGGAGCAGAGGAAGCGGCCACTCCCTCCACTGCTGGACCTTGGACCCTGTTGTTGTCCCCAGATAGGATTGCAAGCAGGGGCAGAGGACAGGGGGCCCATCCTCCATGGCCCCACCTTCCATCAGAGCTTCCCTGAAGGTCCTTCCTCCCATATGAATCTTCTCAGGGGCAGGATTGTGGCTCTTCTAGTGCTTTCCAGACCATTTAAGGCAGGGGTCACCATCCTTTTGGACCTCAGGCACCACCAAACTCATCATTTTAAATCCTGGGGACCACTAATATGAATTTTGACTGACGGTGGCTTGCTGAAATCGGTGGGAGAAAGACGGAGAGAGAGAGAAAAAACTCTGATCTAACCTCTCTCTCTACCCCGCCCCCCCCCCACACACAATCACACAGAGGCAGGGGTGGGATTCAAATTTCTTAACAAATTTCTTAACCAGGGTCTTGTGGGGGCCCTGATGGCAACTCTCAGAGAAGCTCTTGCCCATCCACCCCAACTCAGTCAACACAGAAGGACCCAGGGGTGGGTGTCAGTGGATGTGCTTGTTTCACTTACAGTTCAGGAAGAGAAAAAAAACTCCCAGGATTACGCCTGTAACAATTACGCTTGGAACAATTCCCACCACGTGAATCCACAGCATTGGAGCTAAAGAAAGAGAAAGAGGGCTCTAATTAGAGAGATGCTGAGTTCCCTGAAGGAAGTGTCCCCACCTGAAGGAAGCCCCTCCCCTCCAAGGCTGCAGAGGGAGGAGGGAATGGCCTTGAAGGGAAGAAGGGAACCAAACATCTCACATATCTTTATACTGTTGCTATTAAATTACCATTTCCAACTCTTCGGACAGAAACCACTTCTCTCCCATTGCTAAATGCAGGACCTTTCCTGCTCTCCATCTGAAAACATGAGATGTTGCAGAAGAAAACTACCCCCTCGCAACAGATTTTCAAAGATTTCTCTAAAATCTACTTCTACCCTCTCAGCCTCTCACCTCTTTCCTCCTTGAAAGCCAAGTCCAGGGGCTCCTGCAAGCCCTCGTGCTCCAGATGACACCGAAAATGGTCCCTCTCCTTGGGGTCGATGTCAATGCTCAGCTGGACATAATAGGTCCCGTCTGAGTTGGGGGCCACGTTCTTAAGGAGGGTCTCGTACTTGCAGGCCTCTCCATCCCTGGTCCAGGTGGCCTGGATCTCCTTGGGGTAGAAGCCAAAGGCCTGGCAGGTGAGGACCTCCAGCCTCTCATCCTCCACTTTATGGGTCACCTTCCCCACTGGAGGCTCTGCAGAAACAGCAACAAGACCAGAGTTCCCAGAATTTCTAGTTTTTGGCAAGATGATTTAAATATCAAGTCCTCCTTTGGCCCTCCTCTCCCTCTCTTCCCTCTCCTCCTCTGAACCTGTGAAACCCACAAAGATGGCAACATTGGAGTGATCGTCACCGCAATAGGACTAGATCTTATTTTCCTGCTCAGTTTCTTTGTCTTTATTTGGGGGGGCATTGAAGATTATTTTCCTCCCGTAATAGGATGTGAGATACCTCCTGACCCTTTTCTGCAGAGGGTGGATTGGCTATGTAAAACAGAGATAAAATGGGGGAGGGGGAGCCCATAGAAACCTGATCAGGGGAGCCCCCTTTTTGCCACTCACTTATCTTCTCCAGAGTCTTGTTCTTGTAGGACAGGTATCTCTGCAGCCACACAAAGCAGGTCTGCTCCAGGAAGGCTTTACTTCCCTGGGACCATCTTGGATCCTCCTCCCACTCCTCCTTCACCTTCTGGGCCTGGGGCTGAGCTGTCACCCATCTGAGGGTCTCCTTGTCAAAGCTGATGAAGTCCATCCCATCGTAGCCATAGTGCAAAAACCCTCCTTTGCTCCCGTCTTGCCTGAGCTCACAGCCCAGATTCACCTGCCAGGTACGAAGCCCTAAAAGAGACCCGGAGGAGGTGGAGATGAATGAAAAGGGTGCAGGATTCCTCTCCTTAGAGAATAAATAGAGTTACCTTCTCTTCCCACCTGGGGAGAAAAACTCAGTTTCCCTTTCTCCTCTTTTTCAGACAAGAGGAAATGTCTCTTACTTCAGTTAACTCTGTTTGAGGTCCGGCCATGAAGAATTTCTGGGTGGGAGAGAGAATTGGGGGGGGGGATTGGGGTCATCTTTCCTTTCCAGCAGGCATTGATGTCCCTGGCTCTGCTCACCTCCAGCCTCCTGGTCCAGTTTTGATAATGTCTCCATGTCAGCCCTGAAGATCCACTCAGGGATCAGAAACTTCTTCCCTGCCTCCTCCATCCAGGGCACCAGAGGCTCCATCTTCCTGGTGAGGCTCTCAAAGCGAAAGATGGGCTGGTCATCCAGGTGGACCTTAATGAAGAACCGGTGCAGCCCCTGACGGGGCTCTGAGAGTTTCACGTAGAAGTAGGACAGGGAGTGTGAGGGAGGGCCTAGAGAAGGAAGGGGAGGAGAAGAGCAGAATTGGGGGGAGGTTCAGCCCTGAAGCTCCACCCCCTTCAACAGTTCATTGTCACAAACAGTCTCTCCCCAACATGTTCGCTAGAATGGAAGAAATTGGTTCTCCCCCTTTTCTCTTCTGCTTGGGAAGATACATTGGAGGGAAGAGCCCCCAGCAGCCCTCGGATGACCCTGGGAACATCTGGGCAGGGCTACATCTGGTTAAGTTTTTCCTGCAGCTCCTCTGGGCTCTGGGGATTCCCAGGCAGCTGCTTGTGGGCCTGACCTCCATGGTGACCCCAAACACCCCACAGTGGGAAGAGCCAGCTGGGCCCTATTTACATGGAAGCTAACAAGGGAGCTGAGCGTCTTTCCAGCGAGGGCAAAGTTTGCTGATAAGGGGGGAGCTGAAAGGCGAGGTCTTGGCCCAATGCCCAGGCAGGAGGAGGAAGGAGAAGGAAGGGCTGAAGTCCAAAGTTCGCTTTTCACTTTTACTCTCTGTAAATGGGAACCGATTACAAATCAGATACCAACGTTTTTAAACCGGATTCGGTGAAACGGAGGAAAAGGAAGAGTTTTCCTTGTGCGAATGGAGTTTGGCATTGAGGGGGGATGGGGGAGAGAGAGACCCGACCCAGGACATGAGCTCCCCCCCCGTTGTTGGCCCCCCCCCCCCCCCGCAGCCGCCGCCAACTCACCGCAAAGAGCCCCAGGCCCGAAGGAGCCCAGCGCAACTCCGAAAAGCAAAAAGAGCGGCCGGTTCAGCGGCATCCCAGTCTATCCGCCCTTCGCGAAGTACAAGCCGCTTAGGCGCTTTAGGCAGAAGGCGGCCCGTCGAGGATCTGAAGGGGATGGCCGCGTGTTTGGACAGCGTCCGGCCCGGACACAGTTCCCTTCCGCCAAGGGGCCCCGGTGGACTCGCACAGGAGCCGCACCCGTTTCCTTCCCCGCTTCTCAGCCCCGCACCGCGGGGGCCGAAAGGACGGAGGCGCTGGGCAAAAGGAGCCTTTATAACCTGCACCTGAAGGCAGCTTCGCTCCGCCCAGGACAGCGCCGCCCTCCCTCCTTCGCCCGCCCTCTCGGCCCCCATCCTGCCCGCCCCGAGAGCTCCGCTAAAGCTCTCCGCCCCTCCAAAGTTTGCGCGTCTGCTTTCTTTTGCACGGGAATCGAATGCGAAACAAAGGGACTGAATCCGCAAGTGTTTTATTCTATCCTGGGCACTGGTGGCAGTTGTTAGAGTGCATTACTGGAGGCCACTTCTGCTGCCTGCCGGCTGCCTGCAATTTGGCAGTTCGAATCCCACCAGGCCCAAGGTCGACTCAGTCTCCCATCCTTCCCAGGTGGGACAAATGAGGACCCAGATTGTAGGGGGCAAATAGGCTGACTCTGTAAACCACTTAGGAAAGGGCGATAAAGCGGTATCTAAGTCTAAGGGCTATTGCTACCTTCAACCTTTCCGCGAATAGTAATTGGATGCCAACCAGGTTGGTTTCTTGGCGGAGGGGGGGTTATGCCAGAGGGCTTGGGAAAGCAGCACCACTTCTGGGCCTCAGCCCCCTCCCCTCCCCTCCCCCTGGAACAAGCCAGCCAGAGCCCCTTGGAGGGGTGGCCCCAGGGCCCTTGGAGCCAGGCTCTCTAACTCCCAGCTGCTGTTTCTGCTTAGTGCTTCAGGGGAGCCCAAGGGACAGCGCCCTGCACTACAGGGAGTCCTCAACTTACAACAGTCTGTTTAGTGACTGTTCAACGTTCCCAACAGCAAAACTGACCAATGGCCATTTGACTGAAAAATAAAAGAGAATGTACAAAGTCACCCCAGCATCTCCTTTAGTGAAATTCCCTTCCTTTATTTATTTATTTATTTATTTATTTATTTATTTATTTATTTATTTTAATTTGTTATCAACTTATGAACGAAGGATAGGTTCACAATACAAGGAGGGTTTGAATAATTCGTGGCTCCTGTGAGACAGTTGATTTTTTTAGGTTTGGTGTTGACTTTGGCCTCAATGCTGACTGACTTTCTGAGCAAGCAGTAAACAAGTTTACAGGGAAAGTTCCACCTCTTCCTTCTGGGTCTTATCTGAGGAAGAAGTTGAAGTAAACAAAAGAATGTTTATGGTTCCTTTTGATCCTTCCTTCTCTCCACCCCACAGCCGGGCAAAGGCTGAGCCTCTAAGCTGTTTCCTGATCACCAAACTACAGGAGACTCTGACCTGGGAGCTGGAAGTCTCCATTTTCTCTATTCAGCTGTAAGACTCCAAGCATAGGAGTTTTTTTTTGGGGGGGGGAATCAGCTCCACAAGGAGCTGTGGGAACCCAGAGGTCCCCCCACCAGATGTGTCCAGCTGTCTCCAGGGCCAGCCAAGAGTTGCTTGAGAACTTCTTCCAGGGTTAATCTCATGACTGGGATCCTCTGAAGTGAAGCAGGCAATTGGACTTCTCTTAGGGAGTTGCTTTTCACCTCTTCCCCTTCCAGGTTCCTCCAGGGACTCCCTGTGCTAGTCCTGCTGGAGGGTGTCATAGCCCAACCAAAGGCTGCCCCAGATCCTCTCTGTGGTCACCTGCATAACCAGCCCAGGGTTGGGATTCAAATAATTTAACAACTGGTTCTCTGCCCTGATGGTTTCTTCCAACCACCAGTTCACCAAACGGCTCAGAAAGTTAACAACTGGTTCTTGTATCTGTCATTTCTTCAGTGGAAGAAAAAAAGGCGGGCGGGGAGATAAAGAAATCCTTTTTTGATGTAACCTGAATATATTTAATCCTATATCGAATTTGTATAACCTAAACATGATACAATGGAGGGAGGAAACCCAGGTGGCCGGAATCTATCACCTCTGAAAGGCACAGCCAGGAGGTGAGAAGACCATAAAAATTCCACAGTGAGATGTGTCCAGGGAACCTCTGGAAAAGTTCGTTCTGAAAAGGGGGTGGTGGGAAATTAGATGTGCCCTGGGAAACTGTGAAAAAGATCATTTCTACAAAAGGGGTGGGGGGGAATTAACATACTGGCTTTTGTTTTACTAAATACACATCGAGATAAGGGGAGGGGTTCTAAACTCCCTTATCTCTCCCTGTATGCCTGAAGACCTCAGATGCTGCTTTGAACTCCTACATGAATTGTCTCATCTCAATAAAAGATACCTTTTGATACGTTTGGTTTTCAGAAGTTTATTTTTTAAAAAATATTTTTATTGCTTTTTAAAAACAAACAAACAAACAAAACATAAAAACATCAAGCCATCTTCCATAGGTGTACATACAGCGTCCCAGTTGGTTTACGAATTGTTTTGTTCTTCCATTTCGTAGTCTTCAATTACAATTACATTACATATAATCTCATATTGTCAATCAAAAATTAAATACCTTAGTATCATTATTAATCATTTGACTACACTTTTATTCATTCATGTTTTACAAGATAACCATAATTTACTTAATTTATTTTATAACAGTTCATATTATCATCCTAAATCTATCCTAAAATCATTTTGTAGTTATAATAATAATGAAGTACATCTTTATATATTTATTATTTTCTAAAAATCTACATATTTCATTACTGTACTTTCTTGTTTAACCATTGTTAGAAAAGATCCCAAATTTTATAATATTGTTTATCCTCTTGTTCTCTAATTTCAAATGTCAATCTACTCATTTCAGCACATTCCAATATTTTCTTAATGATTTCCTCCTGTGATGGTATTTTCTCATTTTTCCAGTTTTTAGAAAAAATAATCCTAGCCGCTGTTAATACATTTACAATCAGGTATTTCAAGTCTTTACTATATATTTCAGGTAAAATTCCCAATAAAAATATCTCTGGTTTCAAGTCTATATGTTTTTTGTCATTTTTTCCAACCACGTGTGGATTTTAGCCCAGTATTTTTTAGCATCCTCACAAGTCCACCACATATGGTAAAATGAGCCAGGTGTCTGATGACATTTCCAACATTTTTTGGATTTATTCTTGAACATTTTTGCTATTCTTGTCAGGGGGAAATGTCACCTGTAAAACATCTTACACAAGTTTTCTTTATATGCTGTTGACATTGTCATTTTATAATTTTGATTGATCACAATTGTTGCCATTTCTCTAAATCAATCCCATATCCAAAATTCTTCCCCCAAGCAATCATAGTTTCTTTAACTTGTTCTTCTTCTAGTTTAATTTCTAATAGATATCCATACAATTTTTTAATCACCTTTTCATCAGTACCTGTCAAAATCTTGTCTAAGTCAGTCAGTTTTTCATAGAAACCTTCTGTTTTAGAATCTTTATCATACCTTGAATGTATTTGCGCATATGAAAACCAATTCATCTTTATACCTTGTTCCTCTAGTTTTTGCATAGATTTAAGTTCACCTTTTTCATTCAGTATTTCACCATCTGTTTGTTCCTTTTTGTATATTGTAGGATACGAGAATGCTTCAATAGTCGATAACCAGACTGGAATTTTCAAATAACGTTGTCTTTTAATCTTCTCCCAGTTTAACCCCAGAGACTCCCGTATATGGTGTCTTCTAAAATATCCCTGTGTTTTAGTTCCCTTGTACCATAAAAAAGCATGCCACCCCAACAACAAATCATGTCCTTCTAATGTCAACAATCTAGTATTTCTTAAAGTTATCCATTCCTTGACCTGAATCAAATTTGTAGCTTGGTAATACAACTCCCAATTAGGCAAACCAAATCCTCCTCTAATTCTAGCGTCTTGCAAAAGTTTTAATTTCATTCTCGCTTTCTTACCTTGCCATATATATTTCAACACAATTTTATTTAAATCTTCAAAATAGTCTTTTCAAAGCCTAATTGGAATTGTTTGAAACAAATATAAAATTCTTGGTAATATATTCATCTTGTTTGTTAAGATTCTCCCTATTAGTGAGAGTTGTAAGTTTTCCCATTTCACCAAATCTAGCGCTATCTGCTGTTTAAGCTTAATATAATTATTCTCTTTTAATGTACTACATCTTGCTGTCAAATATATCCCCAAGTACTTGATCTTATTCGTGACTTGAATTTTCAGTACGTCTGCCATTTCTTCCAATTTGTCTTAATAGCATATTCTTTGTCAAAACCTTTGTCTTATCTTTATTTTCAAACCAGCCACCTTTCCATATGTCTCTATCTTTTCCATCAATTTTGATGCTGTTTCTAAAGGGTCTTCTAAAATGAAAACCAGATCATCCGCAAATGTTTGCAGCTTAAATTCTTCCTTTTTGATTTTCATTCCTTTTATATTCTTTTCATCTGTAATATTTCTGTCTTTTACTTTTTATAATTTAAATGGCATTTCCTCCTTCTTGTAACTCCTTGTGTGGGAGTTTTTTTGTCTTCAGTCAAGAATATTTGGAGCATGGAAGCAAAGGGAAGGAATAAAAGGGGATTTACCTGTTTTTTGTGACTGTGTTTATTTTGTATCCTACCCTGGATCATCACACTTGGCACCCAACTCCTTTAATGATCTCTAAGATGAAGAAACGGGACAGAAACGGATGTTGGAAATGCCACGAAGCAGAAGGAATGCTGTGTCTCCTACGGTGGACACATAGAAGACGACAAAAGTGTAGAAAGTGGAATGCAAAAAATCTTGGGATTTAGATTTGAAATGAAACCACAGCTGATCTTCTAGGGGTAATCTGGGGGGTGGGGGGGGAGGACACAAAAGAAACCTCATACTTTAATGAGATCTATGCTGACTGCAGCAAGAAGAAATACAAGGACAAGAATCAGGTTCTTTTGTAAAAGTCCCCAAACACAGCAAGGC